AGGAACCAGGCTGGGGGAAGGCAGAGGCACTGATAAGGGAAGCAGGACAGACGTGGGAGCCTGAGGGAGAAAGAAATGGAAAGGAAGTAGAGCAGAGGGTGAGAAGGAACACATGGGAAACACACATGAAGACAAGATTTTGAAAGGTGTTAACAGAGGAAATAAGGACATATAAGATGAATGTTAAAGAAAAAAACAGGAGACTATGTTACACACGACAACTTGAAGGTATGGAGACACTTTATTACTTAAATTTACATTAGTAAATTTTAAAAATTCCTCTGAACTATATGACCCATGGTTAAGTCTGTGTGTTCTGTTCTTTAGTTTGTCACCACAGTTGAAGTCTGGAGCAGCTTCCTGTTAACACTCAGGGAGCATCCTGTGAGTGAACGGCAAAGCAAATTTATATATTGCCTTGAGCTCATGTTGACAACTTTAAATTTTTTTTAGTGTATAAAGTATAATTCATTTATTTTATAATAGTGTATAATAATTGTACAAAATAATGGATTGCATTGAGATTTCACACATGCCTATGATATAATTTGATTATTTTCATCCATCGCTTTCCCCTGGTGTACCTCACTTCCTCAGATGGGCTCCCTTCTGTGTGTGTGTATGTGTGCACTTTTTTTTTCAAAATATTTAAAAATTTTTTATTTTATGCGTATGGGTGTTTTGCCTGTATGTATGTAAGTGCATCCATGTGGGCAATGCCCATGGTGGCCAGAAGAGGCCATTGGATCCTTGGAACTGGAGTTAAGGATGTTTGTTAGCCACTATGTGGATGCTGGGAATCAAACCTGGTTCCCTGTAAGAGCTAGTGCTCTTTTAACTGCCGAGCCATCTCTCCAGCCCCTGCATTTTCTTTTTAAATCTAGTGTCCACATTCAATAATTTTCTTAAAACATGTAATATGCAACAGCATCCCCCAGATGAGTCCTGGATTGAATAAAAAGGAGGAAGTGAGCTGAGCAGCAGGAATTCCTTCTGCTTCCTAGGTGTGCAGTCCACCAGCTGTCCCATGCTCCTGTTACCATGGCTCCCTGCTACAATGGCTGCACCCTCAAGCCATGAGGTAAACCTTCCCTTCCATAAGAGGCTGTTGTCATCTGTTTGGCTACAGCAATGAGATAAGTAATTAGTATAGTCTGGATCATCAATCTGATGACTGTGAAGTCACCTGCTACTGTTAGATCTGAAGTTCCTTCGTATTCAGTAGCATTTACTTTATGAAACTGGGTTCACCAACACTGTGCTCATTTGTAGTTGCAATGTTATATTATTATGTCGTGACTTTCTTTATCTCTCCCAGTTAATTTTGTCTTGGAGTCTACATTGTCAAATATGAGTACACCTACTTCTTGCTTTGGGATTCCATTTATTTGCAATGTTGTTTTTCATCGTTTCATTTTTGGTCTGTGTGTGTGTATTTACCAGTGAGATGAGTCTCTTGAAAAAATCAGAATTGGATTTTGGTGCTTTAAAAAAAAAAAAGAAAAAAGCTCGGTGTGGTAGCGCAGGCCTTTAATCCCAGCACTCGGGAGGCAGAGGCAGATGGATCTCTGTGAGTTCAAGGCCAGCCTGGTCTACATAGTGAGTTCCAGGACAGCTGGGGCTACAGGGAGACCCTGTTTGTTTTGTTTCATTTTCCATTCAACCAGCCTATGTGTTTTAATTGGGGAGTTAAGACCATTTACATTTGGGTTGTCATAAAAGGTCTAAACTAATTCTCTCTTTATCTTAGAGCTCTTCCTGCATAGAGCTGGGAACGTTTAGTTCTTTCCTAATTCTTTTTGTTTCTTCTTCTAGTGAGACTTCTTCTTTTGCAAGCTCTCATAATTGAGTAGCTCCTACTTCCTGCTCTCTATGTAGTATTCCTTTAAGAACTTCCTGCAATGCTGCGTGGATTGAGGTTCATGAATTGCTTTAGTTTATATTTGTAGATGTTTATTTCTCCCCTGATCTTAAAAGGTAATAGCTGGGTATAGCGATCATGGTTGGCAGTTTTCTTTTAAGACCTGACAGGAGTTCATGCTCTCACAGCCGTTACTGTCTCTGCTGAGAAATCTGCAGTTATCTGTTAGGTTTGCCTTCATAAAAGAACTTGACAGCACCCTCCTGTGTCGTTCAGTGCTCTTTCATTATTTGACTGGCATCGTAGGTGTGGTATGGACAGGTCCTTTTCTGGTTATATCTATTCACATTTTTAAATGCCTCCTTGCTTGGATGTGCACACCCCCCTAGATTTGGTGAATTTTCTGCTATAATTTCATGAACTAGTTTATCTGTGCCTTTAGTTTTTGACGAAGCTCCGTCTTCTGCACCGTTTATAGGTTTGGTCTCTTTAATCATGTCCCAGATGTCTTGAACATTATGGTTATCAGTGCTTTCTTCCTGTATCACTATCTAATTATAATAACTGCTCAGCTATGCCTTGCATCTTCGTATTCTTTCTTCCACCATGTCATGTTTTTTTGTGATAATTTCCTCCTCATTTTATTTTGTTAATCGAGCTTTCTATTTGCAAAATTTGTGTTTCTGTTGTTGCTTTACTTTTGCGTCTCTCTTTACTGGATTTCTTACCCAAGTTGCTAAATTTCTAATTAAGTCTTGGACTGACTTACTCACTTTACTTGTGTAAATAATTTATAAAGTCTTTCAGGTCACTGGTGATTTTTAAATTTTTTTATGTGTATGAGTGTATTGCCTACATGTGTGTGAGTGCACCCATGTTGTGCAATGCCGTGGAGGTCAGAAGAGGGCTTCGGAGTCCCCTGGAACTGGAGTAAAGGATGGTTCGCGGCCACCATGTGGGTGCTGGGAATCGAACCCGGGTCCTCTGCAAGAGCAGTCATTGCTCTTAACCACTGCACTATCTCTCCAGCCCTGACTGGTGATTTTTTAAACTAGAGTTTGAATCTTTATCCAACATGATTTTTGCACAAATCATGTTACCTTGATTTTTTAAAAAATATTTCTCATGTTTCAGCATTGTAATTCATGCATCTGTTGGGATAAGTATTATTGTTGGGTTTATGCGGGAGTCTTCTTGGTGAACAACCTTCTTATGGAGGCTCAATTTCCAGTACTGTCCAGAGAGGAGAATATAAACAGTGCTTGGTGCTGCCTGTGGGCTAAGGGCTGGCTATGGTGTCAATGGTAAGGCTTCTTTCATGTTAGCTGCTGGTGAGCTTTGTTCCTGTATATATCCACTCTCTCCAGGTGCCCCCTCTAGTCTATACATCCAGGGTAGCAAACATCAAGCTGGGGGATGCTCCATGAGAGCATCAGAGAGTGGGGAAAGCAAACAGAACACTAAGTTCTGCAATGAAGTGGGGGCAAAGAGAACCAAATGCTCTCCCTGCAGATCTCAGTGTTATCTGATCCACACCCCTCTCCAGCAATAAATAAACCACCCCCGTAGGAGGGAGGTGGCTGAAGAAATCAAGAGATGCCCTGTACCTCAGCTCCGAACCCTTAGTCTTGTCTTTCCACAAGCCATAGGTGATAGCTCCAGATACCGAGCAACCTACCAGCCATGCGCTCAGAGTGTTCTGTCTCTGAAGTAATCTGCTAATGGGACATGCTCCTCGGTAGACAGGGTGGGACCACTGACCACCATACATGCCACAGCCAGAGTTATCTGCTAGTTAACTGTCTTAGCAGGTCAATGCACAACCCTCTTTCTCTCCTCAACTTCTTCCTGTGGTCTGCTACCTGCATACTGTGGCAGACAAAGTGTTGTTCCAGGATTTTTCCTTAAGTCTCAAGAGTAGCTCAGTCTCATATCATAGGCCCGGTCTCAAGATGGCTCCTGGCTATAGCTCTCAGAGATATAGTGAGTGATGAAGTGAATTTCTTCTCCAGTTGTGGCCTGCCGCGCAGGAAGAATCACTGTCATAGCAAGTCCTCACTGTGGGTTTAATGTCCATAGACTTCTCCATGTGGTCACCAGAGCTTTAGCTTCTCCCTCCTCCTAGGGATTAGGGTTGTCAGACCATTTCCTGCTTTTCTTTCCTTCACTGTCTATTTCTCTGCGCTATCAGTCTTGTCATCCTTCCTTGATTCCTGATGCTCTTCCTCTCTCTGTGTCCTTGGAATGTAGTCTTTCCATTGCTACTTGCATCTTCTCATTAATTAAGCCACATGAAGGAAACTTCTAATCTTCTGATGTTATTTGGGAGTTTTAAAGACTTTTAATTGATAGCATATTCCCTAATCTTTAAAATACTACTTTGAAGTAGATGGGAAGATGGGAAATACGTAGTTTTTAACTCTTATCCTATAAAAACATAAACAAAATGTAAAGAATAAGAGGGACCAAATTGGATACACACTGCATCAGAAGCAGGAGTGGTAAGCTTTGCTGTCTTATTTTTCATCGTAACTAAGCTCATTCCATGTAATTCCATGTAACATTCAATGAAAATGTTCAGTCACCTGATCCACATTATAAGTGGGTTTAATTTTTCTAAGTGAATTTAATCTCTTGAATGAAAAAATACAAGGACTGTGTCCTCTTCAACATTTAGATCAGTTCTCTTCCATTTGAGAGTTTCCTTAGCCCCGAAGAGTAGTCTAGGAAGGCTTTTGTCCTTTGACATCATCACTTTCACTCATGACGTCTGGCTGAAAGAGTATCCATCCTATGACTGAATACACAGAGCTTCAGGGCAGAGCCTTCCTCCCCACTGTGACTATTAACGAGGTCCTTCATGGACTCTGCAATCATTTGTCCTTTTATGACCCCAGAAAACCCCACATGAGCCAGTGTAGTAGGCACTTTGGAAGAGAGAAGTGCTGGGAAAGATTATTTTCTGCTTTTAGGGCATTTAATATGGCTGATAAAGTTGCCTTTACTCCCTCAGACTTGCCTTTTTTGGTTGCTCTGTCTCTTGGAGAATCTCATTTTTTCTGGCTTCTATTTCTTTACACAGCCATGTTATAGTCTCATTATTCTTTCTTTCAGTTTTGAACTAGACAAGCCCTAGAGTACTTCAGGTCTGTATTTTCATCAGAAAAGAATGTGCTCTTCATTAATACTGAAGATTTAATGTTCCACTGGCCTTCGCTGCAGAATAAACAAGACTTTCTTAAGTGAATTTGTTTTTCACAAGGCAGTTAAAGCAAATTTTGTGGGTTTGCACCCAATGGGACATAAAAACTGCCCTAGATATCCAGCAGTGTAGACAGAATTTCTCAGGAATCACTGAGCCCTGGGGCTGAATATGACACTAGGAAGAGGAACTTGCGTGTAGTAAAATGAGACTGAAATAAGAGAAACCAGTTTTCTAGAGTCACAAAGTACCAAGACAAATCTGAGCAAACAAGATTATAAAATGCAAAGTGCATGCTGCACGTAGCCACCAGTCATGTGTTCTTCCGAAGCCACTCAACCATCCTGGCATTTCTCTTCTTGTTTTCCAGGTTTTCAGTTTTTATTGCCTGTAATTTGGCATGAACCTCGATCCTCTGGTGCTCTTCCAACATGTTACTGAAAAACTGCTGCAGCTGAAAGGACAGAGACAACCCATCAGAGCAACCTAACTTCTCATTTGCATAAAACAAAACAGAGTTCATGAAAAATAGCAACTGATTTTGCAAAGGGCCACTGATGTTTGGAATGAGCAGAAATGTGTGCACCTCCATTGTGAGTCCCCAGGGAGACTGACCAAGTCAGTGAGATGAAAACCGTACCTCCCCAGAAGGACAAAATGTAGTCTGGAATGCCCATGAAGTAAGAGCTTTGTCTTATTCATTTCTCTACTCCCAACAAATAGTTACTGAATACACATTGGATATTACACAAGATTTCTGGACAGAGGTACCCTGAGACTTTGTTGCAACTTCCAAAGCTCAATTCTGATTCATCTTATTTCTGACTTTACAAATGTCCTTCATTTCCAAATAGTTTATTCAACTTGGCACTGTTTGCAGATGTAATGATCTTATATTTTAGAAATTTCAAAGATTCTGCCAAAAATTATCAAAATTAATAAATTCTACAAAGTTTCAGGATATGAAATTAATATGTAAAAGTTAGTAGCGTTGGGCTAGAAAGATAGCTCAGCCAGTAAAGTATTTTCCATGCAAGTATGAGGATCTGAGTTCAATTCCCCAGTGCCCATATCAAAAGCTGGGCATACTAGCAAGTACTTGTAATCCTAGTGCTGGTGAGGCAGAAGCAGGTGGATCCCTAGGCCTCACTGGACAGCTCTTACAGCAGTGAATCTCAAGTTCCAGTGAGAGACCCTGTCTAAAAAAACCAACACTTGAGAAGGAATAACACATGAGGTTATCTTCTGGCCTCCACATGCAGTCACACACATAGTACATACACACTCACATGAACACTTGCACACACACACACAATCAATAATTAAAAAGTCAGTAGTGTAGCTATCCACCAATAATGAATTTTTTTGGAAATAATACTCAGAAAGGCAGTCTATTTCCAATAGCTACCCCCAAATTACCTAGGAATAAATTTAATCAAAGAGATGAAAGGGGTCTAAAGTGAAAAGTAATGAAATGCACTGAAGAGGACACAATGAAACAGACTATTCATTCCTTGGAAGAATCAACCTTGGCAAAATATCCATACTGTGTGAAGCAATCTAAGAAGTTTATGGATTTTCTTTTAAAATAACAAGGACATTCTTTATAAAACTAGGAAAAATTATAAAACTTATATGGATATAGACAGCACATACTCTAACTCAAAGTAATTTTGAGCAGGCATTATACAACCTACCTTCAAAATGTATTAGAAAACCAGAGTAATTACAATATCATGGTATTGATATTAAAAGCAGACATGAAAACAATGGAATAGAAGAAAGAACCTGGAGAGGACTTAGGTGTAGTTGTTCAGGCCTTTAATCCCAGAACTTAGGAGGCAGAAGCAGAGGCAGGTGGATCTCTGTGAGATGGAGGCCAGCCTGGTCTACATAGCATGTTCTAATCCAGCAGGGGATTACAGGGAGACCCTGTGTTAAAAAAATCTGGTACTAGTGCTGAGAGAAGATGGATAACCAATAGATAAATGCTAAAGGGAACTAGCCCCCTGCCTCTCCACCATCTACAAAAATCAACCAAAATGTATTAAAGCCCTAAATATGAGACTTGAAAAAAAAAAAAAAAAAAAAAAAAAAAAAAAAAAAAAAAAAAAAACAGGAGAATTGCCTCAGAATATTGGAATTCATGAGGTTTTTTTTTTTTTCCTATACTCATAGGAAATGAAAGCAAAAGTACACAAATGGTATTTCATCAAATTAAAAAGCCTTTGCACCAAAAAGAAACTATCAGTGGAATAAAGAGACAGCTTGCAGGATGAGAGAGAATATTTTTGAACTCTATAGCTGCCCAGAGGTTAATAATCAGAATACAGAAGGAACTCCAAAAACTTACCAGCAAAATAATAATAAACATATTAAAATGAGCATTAGACCTAAACAGGCATTTCTCAAAAGAAAACATAAAAATGGACCACAGTTGCAAGCTAAAATGTGCAATATCACTAACCATCAGGGAAAAGCAGGTCAAAACCATAAAGAGGTATCAATCTGACTCTGGTTAGAATGACCTAGTGATGCCACTCCTGGGTGTATATTAAGGAAAGGAACTCAGTCTGTCAACAATATATCTACATTCTTATATTCATCAAAGCATTATTTAATAGCCAGGAAATGCTGACAACCTAAGATCCAGTCACTAATGAATGGACCAAGAAAATGTGGTACAAATCATGGTGCCACACTGTTCAGCATAAAAAAGAATGAAATCCTGTCATTTATGACAACATAGATGGAACTGGAGATCATTATGTTAAGTTAAACAAGCCAGGGAAGTGTGGCAGGATCTCACTCATGTGGAATCTGAAAAGCTGATCTCATACAAATTGAGAACAGAATAGTGGTAATCAGAGGCTGGGGAAAGAGGAGGCAGGAAGGAGGGATAGACAGGCCAATTCATGGGTGCTAAGTTGAACAGATGGGTGAGAGATCTTCTGGTATTCTATCATACAATACTACCTAATAGATGATAATACACACACACACACACACACTATGTGTGTGTGTGTGTGTGTGTGTGTGTGTGTGTGTGTGTTAAAGGTAGAATGGTTTTGAATGTTTTCACCATAAAGAAGTGATAACTGAGGAACAGGTAATTTTCCCTCATTTATATGTATATCAAAACATCACAAAACAGCTTCAAAAATAGGTGTGATTTTTATTTATCAGTTAAATTATATCAATGATTGAGGATCAAAACCAGGCAAACACTCTACCACTGAGCTATGTCCAGAGCCCCTGGTTAAAGGTTTTAAAGCAATATTCTAGAAAGTATTTTAATAGTGAATCCACTCATTAAATTCTCTTATTGGGGGAGCTGGAGAGACGGCTCAGTGGTTAAGAGCACTGGTTGTTCTTGCAGAAGACCTGGGTTTGAATCATGGCAGTTAACAACCATCTGTAACTTCAGTTCCAGGGGATCCAATGCCCTCTTCTGTCCTCTGCAGGTACTGCATGACATGCGTGCACTTAGACAAACGCAGGCATGACACTTGTACAATTATAATAAAAAAAAAAATTCTCTCATTGGATCAGGTCAAGCATTCAGGTACTGGGGCATCTGGCACAATATTATATATAAACTACACCCCAACTGAATAATGTTTTATTCTGATAGTCTATTTTTGCATCACTGGTTTAGAACTCAGAACACATATCATCATAAAACAATAGTATACCCAAGCCAAGTCACAAAAGCCCCTCAACTTATGCTTGACATTGAATAGTAACAAGGCTATCAAGTCTAGCTACAATGAAAAAAAAAAGTTGCAAAGAAAGTAAGGTAAGGAGCTAGAAGCTAACCTCTCATACTTTCCCACCATGCTCAAAGCAGGTAGGAGCCCTGTGCCCACAGCTCCACACCACCAGCGCTGGGCCCATGCCTGGGCTGCTGCAGTGGTGGGAATAGAGGGGTGCAAGACTGTAGGACAGTAGTGAGGTTCTACTCATGCTTAAGAGCAAGCGTGAGGCCAGGCTTCTGACAGGATGGAGCACACAGATCAGGCTGCAGTTGTGGAGGGTGTGTGGAAGCCATGAGGGTGGTTAGGAAGAAGGGACTCAGGTGGCTTGTTTACCACTGTCTTTTTGAATAATTATTTGGCTATTTTCATATGAACTGATTGTGCTCTAGTGGGGCTGTTGGATATGACCAAGTTGTTGACAAGGATATTTATTATAGTGGATTTGTTTTAAAAACTGTAATTATTTAACTAAATTCATTTTATTAAGTCAATTTAATTTGCATTAAAAGCATTATTAATGATTATAGTTTTTGAACTTGAAGAATTGTTACATTTATATAAGCTTAATTTGTCCATTTGTGAGACAACAGCAAACTCCACTGGATTCCATAGGAGCATGCCACTAGAGACAATGCACAGTCAGTCTTGGTCCTGGGAGCTTTCCTTCACAGCACGTGCTGGGCACATGCTTCTCCCTCTTGTTCAGACATCCCTGATGCATTAGATTCTGATAGTTGAGACACAGGCAGGACAAAACCCAGCAAACACGTCCTTGAAGAATCAGCAGTTCTCCTTGCCTTGTGGTAACAGCTATCAAATAACTGCTTCTCCTTTCTATGGCTTAGGATCAAATTTCAAGGTTTTAGGACACAAGCCTGCATTTATTTGCATAAGTCAATGAGTTTTGGTCCATGTGTAGACCTTTCAAACAACCAATGTACAATACATTTCAATAGCTCAATAACGCTCCCTCATCTCCCCTCCCCCCACACCTTATTTCTTAGACAGGGTTTTCTTGAAGCCCCAGCTGGCCTGGAACTCACTATGTAGACCAGGCTGGTCTCTATCTCACAGAGATCCACCTGTGTCTAAGTGCTGGATTAAAGGCGTGCATACTATGCTTGCCTTCCCTTCTTCCCTTTTGCAGGTTTTCCTTCTGTCACAGACAGCAGTTGATGTACCTTTGTCACTATAGGTCACTATGCACGTCCCAGAATGAGGCTAGGTTCTTTACACAGCATGGTCACCTTGAGATTTATGTGCTGCTACACAAATTTATTCCTTTTTTGGGTGGGGAAATTCCAGTTCACTCAAGGTTGTATTTAATTTTCCTAATTCAGTCACTCACCAAGGGACACTTAATCAGTTTTTAGGTTTGGACCTGGGAATGAAGCTACCATGAGCATTTATCTATGTCTTTGTGTAGACATAGGTTTGAATTTCTTTTGAGTAAAAATCTACGAGTGGGATTGTTAGGTCATAAATGTCTGACTAACATGTTTGAAACCAACGTATTTTCCAGGGAGTTGTACCACATCTGTTCCATCTAGCAGGGTAGAGGAAGCAGTGCATCTTCACCAACTCTGGCTGCACAAACCTTCTTAATTTTACCTATAGTACTAGGTACGCAACTGTTATATTTGTATTTTGTTTTGGTTTTACTTGGTGTGTGTGTGTGTGTGTGTGTGTGTGTGTGTGTGTGTGTGTGCATTTGTTTTTGCCCACCTACTTTACTTTCTGGCTGTCATAGCCCCTTTTTCCTTCTAGAACTATATTCTTCCTATTTTTAGTAACTGGAAGTTGAACAAGGCTGGCTCAAGGGTGGGCATTTCACCTGGGCTGGATCAATCAGAGTATTTCAGGTTTCCTTCCACCTGCACAAGGATCAGAACTAGGACAAACCAAAGTTGTCTTTTCAGGGCAGGAATGTGAAGCATAGTAAGGATCTCCCCATCTGCAATGGAGGGTGTTAAAGACCATGTAAGGCTGGAGCTGTTTGCGTCCACGTGAACAAGGGTCTGCATAAAAAATGTAACCCAGAGGAAAGCAAGAACATGCAAGACGTGGCAGCCCCAAGCGAGATTCTCGCTTACCCTTACAGCTATATACGCAGCTGATATGGCCTGGATCCTCAAGTTGCTCATGAGAGAACCATGGAATAGGCCTATCTACAACCAGTTACAATTTAATATGGTGAGCACCATGACGGAGCATGGAGGAAGACAGAGTACAAATCCACTGATTAAAAATCTCCTAGACTAAGTAGCTAGAACATGAGCTTTAAGAACCGGAACAGGGAAGACACCCAGGCAGAAGCCACAGTGCTTCTGAACTTTAGAAAGGATGAAATAACATGAGGTTTCATAGAATCTGCAAGTGTGGCTGCAGCTCTAGGAAAAGCACTGGGGGTATCTGTCATTCCCTCTCACTCTGACGGTCAGTGGTGGTTGGCAAAACGAAACCAGAGGTAAGGCAAGCTCCAGATCATGGTGCCTCCGTGTGCTCATCACTTTCTTTCATCTTTCAGAAGAACCATGATGAGCTTCTGAAGCTTTAGAAATGGGTGGTGACTGGCAGCACAGAGGGAGGGGTGCCCTGAGAGAGGGAGTCTGGCCTACTGCAGCCATCCATGTGAGGGGTGGGGGAGTTCAGCCCATACAAGCAGACCAATCTCTATTTCAGGGGAAAGAGACCATTAGAAACTCTTTGCTTCACTGTGGTAACAGCACTAAGGAAGCAGAGGGGAGCTAATTCAGATAAGCATATGCTTTTCAATTTCAGCAAGTCAAATTGCATCAAAGGTACTTTAACTGCTGTTATATTTACTTACCTCTGTAATCTGTTGATCTGTATTTATGGTCCTTCCTATGATACACAGTAGAGTAACCAGTGACTGTGCTCCATATCTACAAAGCAACAGGGTTCTAGTTAGGGGGCAAAAGTACGTAGCTGCATTCTAAGCAGTAGATAAATGGTTCATATTCATCCCTTATTATCTCCAACCTCCCAAATCTAGGCAAAAAACATGGATGAATTAGTTTATCTTCAGTAGAAAATGTATTATATAGAGGATTCTATTAATACAAGGAAATACTTACAAATACTGCTTTGTGTAATATAGTTTGTAGGTTTATTTAAATATGAAAAGTTTTCCTTAAAAACAATTTTTACATGGATAGTTGGAATTCATGTCCTATGTCTCAAATTAAAAAAACATTATAAGGGTATGAATAAATAAGTAAATTTTGTCCCTCAAAAAATAATAGTAAGTATGGGATAAATTTCAGAAATACTGATTGAAACACACTACTGTGTATTAAAAAATTATTTCATGTAAATCTTTGCCACGTGCTTGCCCATCTTCTGGTAGCCTCAAAATGTTTCAGTACTGTGACAACTTGAACTCCATTTGGAAAAAAAAAAAAAGTGAAATGTTATGGACAAAGAACAGATACATACCGGTCCAAAGTGTTGCTGTAGCTAAGAAAATTAACAACTTTTGGATGCATTAAAAAAGAAAGAAAAATTGAAATATGATTATTACAATGGACTGAACAAAAATGGTCAAATTCTTTAGGTAGTTAATATACATAATTGATTCACTTCAAAACTGTAAAGTTGAAATTAAAAATTTTAAGAGTTCATTTTGTTATTTATCTAAATAAAAGTGAGAGGAAAATAGAACTTTGCCTTTCCAGTCCCACGTGGAACTGAAGCAGAGGTTACCTGAGCAAAATGGACAGGAGAAAAAAAAAAAAAAAAAAAAAGTTCTAATGTTAGGGAAAAAAGTAGAAAGCAGAGGAAATCCACTTCCCAAGGTGAAGTTGTATCTTCTCTTCCAGATATAGGAGAAAGGTATCAAGAGGCAGGGCTGGGTTTGCAGTTACCTTGGGCATTTGTCAACTGAAGACGTGAGCATAACAGAGAAGCATCACTCTGAGGAGTCAGTGAGTTACTGGGTGTGGAAGCACCTGCTAGAGTCCTCGGCTCATCACACTCCTTACTGATCTCATCAACACCAGGAATTGTTTTTTGAGAAACATGGTTTATTGCTCCTGCTTGAGAGAATACTCTCTTGCAATATTACTTAACAAAATATATGTATTATAAGTAGTCTATTGTTACCATTTTTTAAACATACTCTACTTGCTACAAATACAAGCACCAATGCATGTGTAACCTTGATCCTTTTGCTTGAGTCTCCCGAGGTGCTGAGCAAAAGGAACAAAAATTTATGGCCAGTCTCAGGCACATATGGTGAAATACTGTTTCAGAAAACAAATGTTATTCATCTTTCCTCATTTAGCAGAAGGCAAGGAGAGAGCTGGAAACCGGAGCCAGAGGATATGCTGCTTAAACTCACCCGGCACTGGGTTTCGGTAAATAATTTAAACTCTGAGTATTGGTACTAACTGGTAACTTTTAGAGGTAGCTATGAAAGCTAGAGTTGTTGCAAATATAACCATGTTATTTTAAAAGACCAACCTTAAGCCATGTTTCTTTCATTCTAATCATGGCATTCCATCAGTGCCATGGGATGTTAATAATGTCCTAAGTGACAATATTGAGAAAAAGAAACTAACATAGGAGCCCATAATAAAACATATATCAGTTCAATAAGATTATATTAACAATAATGAACATTATGCTTTTATTATGTGTCAAGTACCTTAAATAACACATAGATAAAACATTTATTATCATCATCTTATGAATAAAAAGCTGAAGCTTAGGTTAAAATCTTAAGGCTACACAGAACCTTTTCCTAGATCTGATTGACCTGAATTCAGTTCTGTTTTGTTAACTCCATGGCACACTGTGCTTTTAGTAGATCTATAAAGAACTAAAGATACTACAAATAAATGGACAGCAGTGTTTTGAAGAGACCCATTCCATTATTTCACAAGTCTCAGAGGGATAGACTACCACTTGCTGCACCACTTTTGTCAATCTGCCTAATTCTACAGTTGCCCACCATAACCTTAGTAAACTATCACCATAAAGGACAGCAGTGCGGGCCTTTCGTGATGCAGAGGTAGAAACAGGAGCTTGCTCTTGAAGAATACACAAAAACTCTTGTCACCTGCCAAACCTCTAACTCCAAACAATTTCCAGCCTAGCTCCCCTTTTCTAAGTTCTAGCCAAACAGTTGTTGTGACCAGTCCCAAATCTCAAATCATTCTCCCAAAGCTGCCTCTAGACATTTCCTAATGTCCTGTCTTCTACATAGGAAGGATTTTCCAACTCTGCTTATTCAGATCACAATCAAATCCCCTAGTCCTCTTGAGTCCCAAAGCCCTTTCCACTGTCTCTCTTCAGTGTTCATCAGAAACTATGTCCTAGTCATTTTATTAATAGATTGAAATGCATCTTGATGTAGAAAAGACAAAATTTTGAACTACTAGGCAGAACCTTAGACTTTATCAGCAACAGCTGCCATTTAATAGAGGAGGAAACGAAATCCTGTGTCAATTCATAAAAACACAATAGATATTGTTTCACTTATAGTTTGAGATGACAGAGTTGAGAAATTTTTGTCTCTCACAGCTCTTTCTCTTGGGACAACTGGTCTACTGGAAATTTTATACTTCAATGACATCAGTACATCACTAGAACTCAGAAGGACTGAGTCTTTAAGATGCTAGGTAGTGTAAATATGTAGAAAACTCTAGGTTTCTTTCTTTAGGGCTTCTTAGAAACTTTATGATCATAAAATATACTGTAAGGGGCTGGAGACATGGCTCAGTGGTTAAGAGTACTGGCTGCTCTTGCAGAGAACCTGTGTTCAATTTCTAGCACCCACACACATGGGGGCTAACAACCATCCTTAACTCCAGTTCCAGGGAATCTGATACCCTCTTCTGACCTCTGCGGGCACTGCCTGATACAGGTCACTTACATACATGCAGGCAATATACTTATACACATTAAAAATCATAACAAAATAAATAAAATACTAAAAATACACGAAGTTTGCAAAAATTAAGTAATGAGTTGTACAAATTTTCAAAACCATCCCTTTTGGAAACTTTGGCTATTTCATCTGCTTACAGATGTTTATTGATGTCTTCCATGAAGAACATTCGGTGGAGAATCCTTGAGAAAGCTAAACACTCACTTGCTGGTGATCAGAAACATGTTAGAAAATGCAATGACCTTTGCACACAGTTACTGTACAATGTAGTTTGGCATAAGCTTACTTTTGTTTATACTTTCATATTATCTTTATCATCACACAAAGACTGGGGATATATCAATACTCAATGTCAGATAAAACTTTATTAAATGATAAACAGTCTCATGCAAAAAGAATTAAGCATTTGTGTGCCCCATAAATGTATGTTTTATTATTAATTTGAACATCTGTTTTCAACAATTCATAAATGTTACTGTTGATTCAGACAAAACTATCAGCAAAATTGAACAAGCATTTATACATAAATTAAACCTTAAAACAAATGTAGTCAATATGTAAGGCAAGTTTGAGTCTAAGATGCTCTTTGTAGTGCAAAAGTAGTAGACTAAGATCAATTTACCATAAATATAGCATTTCTCTTATGAATATGGTGTTCTTGTGAGTGAAACATAAAAATATTCATGCTGTAGTTAAAAGTTCATGCACTTATAAGTCGAGGAACTTCGTGGAGATGATTGTATTTAACATGCTTATGCAGCTCATTTAAATCAACTGTGAGACAGTAGGCTTTTCAGAGAATAGATTTCAACCCTACTAAAACAGTGCTAACATTCTCCTGTTCTCCAAATGCAAGAAAAAAAATTCTTCTGAGGAATAAAAACACACATAAAGTCACTTGCATTAAAAGCAATCTTTCCCATTATTAACACCCTTGTGATAGGGCACAGGTTCAGTTTAAAGTGTTGTATACCTTTACCATGCACCCAGTTTCTCCTGTGGTTAGCATTACTATGACATATTTGTCAGAACAATGGAACCAACTATCCTTTAATTTTGATGTGAGAAATGTGTTCAGCCAGAAACACGCTCTCCTGGTCTATTTTCCAGTCTAGCAACTTTCAGTGGCTAAAGAGGTGCCAATGTGACGAACACATCACAGTAGGACAAGAATACTCTCCACAGCGATGCTAAATATGTGTCCCAGGTGACACCATATATTATTTCTGGATTCAGTGAGTTGCTTAAAGTCACTTTGAAGTTTTAATTTGCACCTGTGCCATGTGTGAGAAGACCAAGTGAGGTTTAAATTCATCAATGTTCTTCTATTGAATTCTGTATGAGGATAGAGATGTTGTTTAGTTCAGCTGTTCAATATGGTAGCCTCTAGTCACACTGGGCACTTCACAAAGGAATGATACAACTAATGAGCTGATTTTAAATATTTTTAATTTAAGAAAATTATTTTTTTATGTGTATGACAGTTTTGCCCCCATGTTTGTAAGTGCACCATGTGCATGCAATACCCACAGACACCAGAAGGTGGTGTTGTATCCTCTGAAACTGGTGCTACAGATGGTTGTTAGCTGCCATGTGGGTGCTCAGAACCAAGCCTGGGTCCTCTGGAAGAACAGCAAGTGGTCTTAAACCAGTGAGCCATCTCTCTAGCCCTCTATTTTTAAATTTTAATGGAAATTTAATATCTACATTGTAGTAGCTATCAGATTGAGCAATGCAGCTTTATGCAGTTTGTTGTCTATTTGTTTGTCAGGGTCTCACATTGTAGCCCTGATGGGTCTGGAATTCACTATGTAGCTCAGGCTTGCCTAAAACTCATGAAGGTCTTCCTACCTTAGCCTCTCAAGTGCTGGGAATACAGTGAGATACACCATATCCAACTCAGCTTTATATAATCTTAACTACAGCGTCATTGAACTTGTATGGAACTTTACTAGAGTCATTTGGGAAGCCAGTAGAAGGTAGAGACTGCCTACCCTATCATGATTTTCAAGAGGCAGGTGACTTGGGCATTTACATGCTTATTTACATGAAGCTCTGCAGAATTTGAGAATGTCTTGCTCAGCTCACTTGTCTGTGGGGCTAGTTCCTGGGAATGACAGGCACAGCCTCACTGTGAGCTACAACAATGCACACAGTCCTTAATATTTATAGGTGATATGAGCATACAAGGGCCAAGCACAGTTTAGGGCTGAGTCTGGTAAGTGCCTGTGAGCCTTTGTCTTCCTCAGCCCAGCAGTATGTCAGAAGGAATGGAGACTGTGACCACATGGTGATGACAAAGTGGGGCCTCAGGCAAATTGTAACTGGTTTTTCTTGCTTTTGTTTTTGTTTATTATTTATTTATTTTGGTACTAGTGACTCAACCCAGGACCTCAAGTGCACTAGGCTCTACGACTGAGCTACACTGCCAGCCTCCAAAGTATTTTGTTAAAAAGCTGTTCTCTGAATACTTGGGTTCTAAAATTACATCTAGAGAAGTTATCAGGAAGTTTTGGAAGAAGAGGGAAGGACTGGATGTAAGGAATGACTTTAAGCAAGCTGAGCAAGGCAGCAAATGTGTTCTCAGACAAGGCAGAGTCAAATCCACTAGACTAGACTGGCTGTGAGGACAGGGGGTTTTTCTTAAAAGCTCAAGGAAGAGACTGCTGGGAGTAACAGACAAGAGCACAAGGCTTAAATCTCTGAAAATTTATGTGAATGAGACCTGTGTACATCATTTCAACTTAAAACATAACTTCTAAATTCCCAGTGGAGAGTGTTACTGAGGAAGGAGAAACTTATCTTTAATGACAAAAAAATAAAATAGAAGGCCTAATACATCCTCAAATTCTGATTTCACAAAATGTAAAGAATCTGTAGAGTCCTCTAATGCAATGAACCAAGAATTAGATGAATTAGATGCAATGAACCAAGAACTCTTAAACAAGAGAAAAGGACAATACTCTCATTGTGTGGGTGTTGTATGAATGTCCCCATGATGAGCTAAAGAAATACTGCATGACAAGTGAGTTTTCACCGATGCATTTTAAAATTTGTGATTCAAAAACACATTTTTGTGTTCTAAAAATGTTCAATGAATGTTTACAGAACATTATTTTGTTTTATGAGAATTATACATACCTACATCCTCAGATGTTTGTTCTAGCCAGCTTGGCACAGTGGCACAAGCCTGTGATCCTAGCACTTGGAAGATCAGAAGGAAAGTTTATCCTCAGCTATATGGTGAGTTCAATGACATTTTGGGCTGCATGAGACCATGTTTGAAAAAAAAAATGTGGGGTGTGGTGGTAAATGCCTTTAATCCCAGCACTCAGGAGGCAGAGAGGGAGGCAGACTTCTTTGAGTTCAAGGCCAGCTGGGGCTACAGGGAGACCCTACTTCAAAAATAAAAAATAATTAACTTAAAAACACTAAAAATTATACTCTAAATACATTTGTTCCGAAGGAATAAACTTATTTCAAAAAGTATCGTCCAACTGTTCAGGTGCTTGGACCTTAACTATTAGCTATTTTGTATCTGCTAAATCTACAGTGTCTGAGTACTTATAGGGACTGTTAATTCTTGTCTATTAAGAATGTGTGGCTAAGTTATATTCTAGAAACTGCAGTCACCAAGGGTATCTCTCTGATTTTTACATGTCAATGAACATGTTGCCTAATTGGGGTACCTAGGAGGCAAGCAGATTTACTCTTCAAAGGTAAGAAATTTTGAAAACTTGGGGACTGGAGAGATGGATCAGCAGTTAAGAACATGGGCTGCTCTTGCAGAGGACACAGGTTTGATTCCCAGAACCTACATGGTGGCTAACAACTCTTTGTAACTCCAGTTCCAGGGGATCTGAAGCCCTCTTCTGACCTCTGTGGACACTGCAAAACACAGGTGCACCTACCTACATGTAGGCAATACAGTCTTCACATAAAGTAAAAATAATAAATAAAATATTTTTTAAAAAAGAAATTAAAAACACTCAACAATACAGAATCCAGATGTAGAAAAGAAACATGACAACACCATTTGTAGAATACAGGCTAATATTTTACTAATCATTTCTTAAAGCTATGGTGACACACTTCATGAAATATGATGAAATATGTGAGTGAATGGTGCACACATGTATCAAAAACGACTTACTCAAATCTATCTCTGTTGTTGTTATTATTATTATTATTATTATTTGAGACAGGGTCTCATTCTGTAGCCCTGGTTGGCCTAGAAGCCTAGAACTTGCTATATAATCAGACTAGCCTCAAACTCATAGAAATCTGCTTGCTTCTGCCTCCAGAGTACTAGGATTAAAGACATGTACCACCACACCCAACCAAATCTGTGTTTCTTAACTTCTTGGTGGGCATAATGGGGAAAATGAAGTAGATAAAAATATATACAAATTAATTTTTCATTCAGGAAGCCAAGATTAAGGGTAAGTGGTCTCTTAGTTTGTAATGAGACAAAATACAGGAAAAAAAATCATCACTATTTTAGTAAGTGAAAAGGACTTTTGTGATGTAGCTACATTAAAACTGTGCCTCTCCAAAACTAGTAACCTAGGGTAATCAAGGGCAATGGCAATAGACTGTAAAGTTTGGGAATCTATGGAACCCGACTCACTGACCAACACCTTGCAAAGAGGTAACCATACCTTGAACTGGGCTTTTTATTTGAGAGCCTATGGTATCTGAGAGAGGCATTGTCCCCTGTTATGGATGGCTGTACACTCATGTACTTACTAGAATCACTAAGTGGACTCAGTGGTTTTTAAAAAAAAGAACAAATGAAGTTGGAAGGGAAAAGTGGTAGCAGGGATAAGGGAAGATTTGGAGGGTAGGGGATGAAGGGTAGATTTGATCAAAACACATTTATATGCATGTTTGAAAATTTCAAACAATAAACACAAACAACAGTGATGTAATGAAAGTAAGGTCTCAGGTCCCTTCTTACCTTTTACCCACAGCTGGCCAATTATTGACCAAAAAGTCCTTTGCAACATACCGGCCGACTTCAGATGCTGCCACAATTTCCATCACATTTGCCTCACTAAAGGTGGATGGAGGTAAAGTGATGGCATACTCCATAAACCTGCAAGAATGCATGGTAAAATATAAACAGGTTAAAAAAATATAATCTAGAGCTAAATGAATGGAATTAAAACTTCATGGTTCTAAGTTACTGGGGCACAAATATGCATGTTTCTATTTTTCTCCCTTTGGGGATATGTTCTGTTCCTCCAGCAAGAACTTTGAAGTGAGTTTGCCGTATCACCTGTGCAGTATCCATGGCTCTTTACTGCAGCTCATTGCATAAGCCAGATGAATCCTTTCCTCTTCCTTTTTTGTTTTGTTGTAAACACTTAACAAAAAGTCCCATTCCTTATCACTTCCCAAGGCAATGCCATAGCATAAAACCACACTTCTAATTGGATGTGGGATTCTGAAAGATAGAACAGGCAATGGCATTTCTCATGGTAGTTCGGTGACATGTTTACTCAGACTGTCACATATTTACAAGTGTAAATCTAGAAAAAAAATTTGATATCTGAGATATAAAGATCAAAGGTAGAGCTCTAGAGAAGCAAGTGAGGGAACTGTCATTAGCATCAATGTGCTGAAAAGGGGCAACTATTTAGCTGAGAGATTGAGTTTTCAGAGAAGTAAATTAGAATAGCACGAGATACATCAGTAAGGCAGTTTGGTTTTGTGTCTCTTTATGACATTTTCTCAGAGCCCATCTGAAATAATAAATGACAGGCAATAAATCCCCGAACACCAAAGTAACGGTCTCAGCTCTTAATGAGACTATAAACTCAGATGTGTGTGTGTGTGTGTGTGTGTGTGTGTGTGTGCACGCGTGCGTGCACTTGGGGGGGCTCTAATACATTCATAGTTAAAGCATTGATAAATAATCATAAAGAACAACCTGTTAATATGTAAAAAAAGGGACTGGAGAGATTGCTCAGTCAATAAGAGCATTGGTTGTTCTTGCAGAGGACCTGGGTTCCATTTCCAGCACCTACAATGGCAGCTAACAATCAATCTGTAACTCCAGTTCCAGGGGATCCGGCACCCTCTTCTGGCCTTTGTGGGCACTGCATGACATTAGCGCACTTACATAAATGCAAGCAAAACACTTATCCACATAGATTTAAGAATAATAAATAAAAAATTTAAAAAAAGATGTAAAACAAGTATAGAAAGTCCAACTGGTAAGTATTACTGAGAGACCATACCAGCAATGAAAGGTTATGGTCTCAATTTACTGAATGAATTCTAATCTGTTATGTACAGATCTAATTAGATAATTGTTTTTTTAGAAAAGGATATCTGAAAAGAAATTGGGGAGATTATCTAAGCGAAAGCAAAATGATCACCCCCAACTATAAGAACATCAAAGAGGTAGAGAAATCACCGGTGTTGAAATGGGAGCTGAGCAGGGGGACTACAGTGTTGCTCTTACACATTCTCTGGATGCTTCATCCATTTTCTGAAGAGCTCTTTTGACAGCTGGAGACAGTCTTCAAGACCCAACCAACACGCTGTTTCAAAAAGTTTTTCCAATGATATTCTTGAAAGAAAAGTCGAAGTGGAGCAGTTAATTTTGCATTGTCACCTTCATTTTTTCCTACTGCTAAGAATGTGTGTTTCATAAAAAGACGAGAAATTTAAAACATTCTAGTAACATCAGGTTTGTTTTAAGAAATAGCTTTTACAGTGACAAACATATTTAAGATTCAGAGAAACATTTGCTGAGAGGCTTTCAGGCACCAAAAAAACTCCTACAAATAATATTTTTTCAAAATTAGAAATAAATTACTGCCATCCTTCATCTCTCTCAAACACACATGGGAATACAGGCACTCAGCATCTGTTGTCAGTTTATGCTTTCTCTCTTTTACGATAATTTCTTAATGGATAAAAAAAAGACCCTGAGAGTATCTGATCCAATATACTTAAAAATAAATGCTTTCTCTACACAAGAAAAGGAAAGAAAATGGTCCCCCCACCCCCGTACAGTTTGTTTTCCCTTGCTACAGTATCTGACTCTTCATCTGCTCCCTGTCAATTATTGTTCATATATGTGTCCAGAAAAGAACAGGGTGGTTTGTTTTATTTTTATAGCTAAGCAAGGGTCTACATTCTGGTTCAAAACAAGCTCAAAAGAACACAGTGAAGAACAACCATGGGTCAAGGGAAGCCATGCCTTGTGGTACAGCTTGTGGTATTCATCAACTTTGGGGTCTGAGTAAAGGAAGTCAGACTGATTCTAAGTTCCCAGAAAACTATGAAAGCCAAATTTCTTTTGTCCCACTCTCCAGTTTCAACTCGGTCTGGTCTGACTTTGTGATAGGCAGGTTTGGAATGTGGAGGGGTGGAGGATCTGGGACAGATGCTACTAGGCATTCCAAGTGTATTCACTTCTCTCCACCAAATTCAAGTTAACTGCAACAAAATGGGGTTCTGAAAAATCAGTCTCAAGCTGGGCATGACAGCACAGCCTTTAATCCCAGTGCTCAGGAGGCAGAAACAGGCAGATCTCTCTGAGACTGAGGCCAGTCTTGTCTACATAGTGAATTCCAGGCCATCTGGGGTTACAGGGAGACCATGTCTCAAAAACAAAACAAAACACAACAAAACACAACAAAAAAGTCTCTCCCAGAAGTTTCTGGAGGAGAAAAACTGGCCCCAGGATGGCATAAAAAATAAGCCACTTTAGTCTGATTTAGGAGAACCAAGAATGTGTCTGGTTAGCATCCATGCTGCCTGGTTGAACACATTTATACCTTCCTGTTCATTCACACAATTTGCCTACACGCCATCCTAAACAGTCTTCATATTCATCGATGTACTTCTTCATCCAATTCTATGTCCTCATAATTATATACCATGGTGCTAATTTCTACTCCCTCAGAAGAGAACTATTGAGAGAGAATAATTACATTTTGTACTACTTATGTAGTCTAATAGATTAAAGTTTGACGTTGTTAGACATTGTAGCTATAGTTGTTGGCTACCACCTACCCCCAATTCTAGAATCCCAGACCACACACATGAATGTCAGGTCACAGAGAGCACAGAGGTACCACAGCCTCATGTTGTCTTTCTGCTCCGTCCCAAACCATCACAAAATGTGCTTCTTTCCATGAGGAAATAATTTGCAGTACTTAAACATGCTCATAACAAGTGACTGATATATGTCACTGTCAACCTATTTCATTTTTGTATCATGTAGAATTCTTGTAAACAAAAATGGCCAGAAAGTGTTAGGTAACTAGTTAGAAATTAGGCTTAAAGATCATGGAGGATGGACCCCTCTCTCCTAATCAGCTTTGAGTCCCACACCCTATGTCCCTGGTAACACATAAACTTCATAGTGATAGATAAAAAAAGAGGGAAAAGTACCATATTGGCCTCTCCTTAAGAGTGAAATGATCAGAGCCAGGTATGGTAGCACATGCCTTTAATCCCAGTACTTGGGAGGCAGAAGAAAGTGGATCTTTGTGAGAGAGAGGATAGCCTGGTCCAGGCCAGCTGGGGCTACAGGGAGACCCTGTCTCAAAAACATTAAATAAAAAAGATTGAGCAAGTGGAGGTAGCAGGGCTTTGTGGAGGCCCATTAAGAGAAGGCTATTTTCTCATGGTAAAACATGTCTCTTTTTAAGACTTTTTTCCTCAGTTCTTTTTAATCTGCTATGTTACATGCGTTTTGGTTAAAATAATGAGATCTGAGTTGTATCTCTGCCATTGAGTAGAGACATGACTCTTTGACCTGGTAGGAAGACTACTAGGTAGAAGGGGGCTTTCTGGTAATGAGAAAGGACATATAATGAGCTCTTCTCTTAAGAATTTATCCAAATAGACTGGTCATAAGGAAAAAGTTCCTCAGGAAAGTTGTCTGCTCTACAGACTTTGGAAAATAGTATATAACCTACCCTAACATATAGTTTGACACAATGGTCTCTCTAGCCATGGTTCACTTTTATCCCTTTAGGATACTCCACTTTACTCTCTAATGAACTCTATCTCATACAGTCTGTCCTGTGTGTCTTGTCTAAATTCTTTTTAATGGAGAACACAAAGACTAGGGAGTTGAGTTGTGAACAGAGAGCAAGATCTCAGTGACAAAAGGACAGGTGGCTTCCCCATGGCCTTCAGTTTAATTGTGCAGAGTAACTGTCTTTAGCACAACTCTTGACCCATGGTAGGATATACTGACAACGTCAGCTGTAATCTAACTTTGAGAATAGAGTTTAAGCTCCTGTGCGCACGTGCATGTACTTCCCAGGTCAATTAAGAGTCCAAGATATTATTTCCTCTGAGAATACACTATAGTTCATCCTTTCGCCAATAGCATGCAAACTCTCTCAGTGAGTAAAGAGGTATTAACATTTTTCTCTTTTATGAATTTGGAACTCATCTATTATTATGAGTCATTTTTTTCAGTTATCACCAACTAAAAATACTTACAGAGCTAAATAATTGTCTTGTAATGCTGCCACATTTTCTCGAATTATAGCTGAATAAATATTCCATATTGAGTCAAGTCTCTTCAGTAGATACTTCTATAAATCACAAAGAAAATATACCATTATTTCTGGCACCGAACACTGAATTTCCAGTGTATTTCTATTTATCTGAATGATATCAAATAGAGAAGTGACAGATAGTGTTTCAGAAATTATCTTTGTTACTAAATATACTGTTTGATTTTTAAACTTTTCTACGTTCAGTTCCCTCACATATATAAAACATGAGATGCAATTGAGGAGTAGGTAATAGAATGTCTGAAATGTCTGTAAAGACACTGCCTGGCATGGAGTAAGAGCTTAATGAACATTAGGCGTTATTGTCATTTACTATAAGCTGGTGAATATAAAGTTAAATAAGTTAGATGTTCACTAGTACAAGCATCCCTGAGAACCAACTAGGTGCTATGAATCCACTGAAACTCACTGAAGACCAGTGTTTTGTCCAGAGCCAGTCATCAGAGACCAGCAATCCCACAGTCATTAAGTGATGAAAGTCACCTTCCCTGCACTCGCCTAAGTTACCAACATTAGTATGGATACTAGAAGAAAGAACATCTAGAACCTGAGGTATGTACGTTATCACTGTCAGAATGGCCCAGAAGCTCTCTTGTAATCATCATCTAATGAATGTTCTAGTTTGTTTGTGGACCTTGACTATCCAAAGAGTTGCTCCAAAACATTTACACTGATTTTATCTCTGGCAATCTTTATTCTGAGGCGTACTATTTAAGATGTAATGGTGGAATGTCTCCTTTTTATATTCTCTCGTTTAAGATGGCTTGTTATTGTCTTATGCATTAACTATGATTTCTATCTTTCTCTTCCTAATAGCAAGAACCACTTTGAAACTTCTATTCTTTCTAGAATATAGCCCTCTGGTTTCAGTTGCTGATCCTGTAGACACAAGTATTGCAATTTGAATACAGGTTGTTGAAAGACTTTGTTTGCCTGCAAGTCTCTTGTGAAAGTTGTTTCTAATGGATACTACCATTTTCTATAAGAAGATATGTAATGCACCACTTCTGGTTTTAGGATACACTATCACTTCAGCAAGAATGAAGAACCCTTTAAGCTTTCCTGCTACTCATCTCCTAGACCAGGGCTATGACTAAGGTATTTTTCTTCTAAGAATAATCAGCTGTAGCTAAAAGAAATAAATAACTAGACATCTGGAATGAATAGACCATTGCTTTGGGAAAGGCCTGTCCCACAGATGCTGCCCAGAATACAGAAAGAGGAAAAGAGGACTGATTTAAAAACCACGTAACAAAGCATGAATTACCTTCAGTAATGGGTATATAGCATAGTTGTTCACATCAGAAATAAGATCCCTGTTTATCAAGTTTACCAAGACTTCACACCACACTATGATTTCATCTTCTTCAGCAAGGTACTTGGTTAAATCAAGTGCTGTCTCAATCTCAATATAATTGTTTCTGTTTGGTTTAAAAAAACACACACTCAAAAACCTTCACCTGCTCAATGATTTGCTCTCTTTCCATATTTGTTCCATCTTTCCATGCTTGATTTCAACAGGTTATGTAAACAAACCAAATAGAGGACTGGAAAAGGCCCTGTCTTACTGATAAAACAGAATACCAGAAATGCTGCCAGGCCATTCATTTCCACTTGATACCCATGTTAGAAGCTGTAGAAAACTAGGCCAAATGTTGAGTAACAGAATATTGGGTGTTTAGTATTTGTTCTTATGAGAATATAATTTCCTTTCAGCAAGCATCAACCATGAGCTCTCCCAGTCTAATGCTCTTGTCAGCCTCAGTGGTCATATAAACTAGTACTATGTCACTTCAGTTGCCTGCTGTTAAGAGCATCAGTGAGGTGCTGAGGCTGGTTCATAGGACATTGCCAAGGAGAGGCCCCAGAAAAGATGATGACAACTATATATGAAGAGCGGAAGAAGGAAAATATACATGGAAATATCAGGGGGAAAATGGAGAAGTCAGAGAAGGCCTCACGGAAAAAAACACTTGAGAAGAGCACCGAGGGACATGTATAATTGAAAAGGGCAGAAAATGCAGCTGAGGACAAAGAAGGTACAGTGGGGAATAGAACAGTGGGCAGACAGAGCTAATAAGAGGGGGTTTCATGTCTAGTCAGAGGCAGATACTAACAGGTAGGTGGTTCAAACCTGTGGAGATCCTTGAACATCAGGATGAAGAGTTAAGATTTGGTTGAAAGGCACTCTGGGTTTTTAAGCAACTGGGATAATATGATATAATTGATGCCTAAAACTTCTGTTGTCACAATGCTGAATTCATAACAGAACTCAAAAGAACTAAAGGCTGGAGGCTAATATAATATGCCAGACAAAAGATGATGGAAATGGCTTATGTGTAAGTAGTGAAGGCAGCAAGGTAAGAATCCAAAAGGTGTTACCAAGAATGTATAGATAAGACATGCTGAATGGCTAAGCATGAGACATGGAGAGAGGAACGTCTCTGAGGATTCAAGTTTGGGTTATGAATAGTAGAGAGAGAGAGAGAGAGAGAGAGAGAGAGAGAGAGAGTGAGTTTATAAATAGCAAGAACAACTTAGAGACCAAAATAAAATTTAGCATTTAAGGCAATGAATTGAAATGTCTACAAGATAAATATAAGACAAGAAGAAAAAACATGTAGAGATATTTTAGAATATAACTGAGCATCTTATATTTACTGAGCCATGTACATAATAAAATAATCATCTATATGATAAGATGAATTATTCAAAGGCAAGAAGGAAGAAAACACAGGCAAGAAGGAAGCCCATGATTGGCCTTAAGGATGCACATAGAATAGGAAGATGTGAAGTCAGATATATGAGAAGAATCAATTTTGCATGTTGAAGTATCAGAAAGCCAAAAAGTATCAGAAGCCTGGAGGATGTGGTCAGTGGATTCCAAGTCATGGTGGCTCTGGAGAGGCATTGCATCCAAGTCTTGTGCAACAGTTATCAGAGGGGACAATCAGTAAAGAAATCACAAATATTCAACAAATGTAATGGGCTAAAAAGAGGACATGTTGGATCATTTATTATACAAAACCCTTTAATTTTATTGCCTTAAAATTTAAATCTTGAACATATAATAATATTTCCTGGTTAAACAGTGGCATAGTTTAGGCTAAACAAATATAATACATACATATAAAATAGATAATTCCACACTATATTAAAATATAAGCCAGTATCACTACAATTGTAGCAGCACCATCACTCTAGGGTAACCTCAGAATATCAATGGATGGTTTCCAATAACTATGCTACAAAATACCACTGTGAACACAGATTTTGATCCTAAGCTTATATTTATGTATCTCTTTTATTTTGAGTCAGGGTTTTACACTATTTGTAGTTCGGGCTGTCCTCTAAGTCACAGCAATCCTCCTACACCAGACTTCCAGGTGCTAGGATTACAGGTTTGAGAAACCATGCCCTGCGTTTGACCCTAATCTTAATCAGTTAAGGTCTGTGCATACTAAAGAAGTAAGTTCATAGTAATGAGGTTGTTATTTTTATAAAGTTCTCAAGATACACCCTATAATCATGAAAGAAGAAACACTCACTTAGATAAGGTAAAAGCATCGCTCATCAACTGCAGTCGGTGGATAACAGGAATAGCCTATGGAAGGAAATCCAAATGTGGTCAAGAAAAGATGAAGGCATTTCCAATAAAATATTTTCAAAACAGCAACTTAAAGATCATTGGTGTCTATAAATCACTTCCACAGCAATTGTCTCCTATGTAGAGAAATAGTGATTACTAAGGACAGCCCATACATAATTTATATATTACACATGTGTTTTTGATAAAAGATCCCTCTGGACATCAATCATAATATTTAAACATGGCAGAAAGATTTACCAAAATACTCCCCTAAAACATACCATGTTATAGACAACTAAATTTAAAAGGTGTCTCCAAAAGAGAATGCATATATTCAATGGTATTACCATATCTTAATTGTTTCAGGGGAAGTTTTAGCATACGAGGTCTTAAATAAAAGTATTTAACACTACTTTTGGTAATGCTGAGGTATTATTTTCAATATTGCCTGTCCTTGCAATATTTGACTAATGTGACCCAGGACCTTATATTCAAGGAAAGGCAGGGGCCAATCCCAACCTAACTCTACAAGCTTCCATCTAAACTACTCAACATCATAGCTCAAAACTTAGATTTCAGCTTCAATCTTCTGAGGGTGTCCACAGACTCCCATATCATTCCTCCAACACCCTCAGCACCTTGATATATTTGGTCCAAGAAAATTTATCTTTGTAGCATTCCTAAGCATCTTAGTACACCAGTTTTAAGTCTCCCTTTGGAGATAGGTTCATTTCCTTTCTGGCAGTAATAACACATTTTCTGGATTCATTTGAATAGCACAGGTTTATCTTATGTGTTCATCAATTGCATCACAGAAACATTTAGTTCAATTTTTCAATGAGCAAATCTACACTGGCTTCAAGGAATGATTATAGACAATATTAATATTACATATCATCAGTATTTTAATGGAATAACCTAGGACTTTTGTGGCTTATAGTGTCCTCAGAAACTATGAAGAATTTAGTCAGGACCCTGGAGAGAGGGCTCAGCAATTAAGAGAACTTGCTGTTCTTGCAGAGAACCTGGGTTCAGATCCCAGCACCCACATGGTGTCTAACCACTGTCAATAATTCCAGTTCTAGGGGATCACAACACTCTTCTGGCCTCTAAGGGCACTGAACCAACATGGGTGCACTTACATGCAGGCAAAACATACATTAAAAAAATGTTTTTTAAAAGAATTTAGTCAGTCTAAAAAGGATTTTAAAAGAAAATATTATGTGGATTTTGTAGCTTTATTCAAAATATCAATAACATTATTTCAAGTAGCTGGGGCCAGGCATGGTGGCGCACACCTTTAATCCCACCACGTGGGAGGCAGAGGCAGGCAGATCTCTGTGCATTCAAGGCCAGCCTGGTCTACATCGTGAGTTCTAGGACAGCTGGGGCTACAGGGAGACCCTGTCTCAAAAAGACCAAAAAAAAAGAAAAAAAATTGCTGAACATACTGTGAGTGCCTGACTTATGTCTGGCCTCTGTTAAATGTATCATTTTATCTGATCTTTACAAGGACACTTTAAGATTAGTCATAAACTTTAAAGTAAGGTTAGTCTATTAATGCCCATTAATACAGATAAAAAAATCAGTCAAACGCCAGGCCCAACATCACACTTTAAGTAAATGATGAACAAAAATGTGAGCTGAAGTCTCTTGACCCATAGCCCAAGTTCTGGGCCAATGTGCTGTGCTGCTGTAGAGGCAGCTGTGACCCCAACAGAGAAGCATGTAAGACAGCTTTCACTTCAGCTAAGTGAACTGCCCAAAGAATCACAACAGCACAGTCTATCTTGTGGACTCTTTAGTCAGCATCCCTTTCTACTTGGAGATTTGGTTAAGTCAACCAATTAAAGATTGACTAATATAAGCTGGAGAGATGGCTCAGCAGTTAAGTGCACAGACTGCTGCTCTTGCAGAGAACCCGGGCTTGGTTCCTAGCACCCACATGGCAGCTAACAACCACCTGTAATTCCAGTTCCAGGAAATCTGATGCCCTCTTGTGGCCTCCACGAACATTGTACACACCTGGTGCACTTACAGCAAAACAATACAGATAAAAGAAAAAATTTTAAATTCAAAGACTGACTAATGTAATCTGGTCAATATTTTAACATTTATAGATTCCAAAATGATTTGTAGGCTTTTAAGAATAATTTAATGTGATATTGAACTATTATTAATGTTTTATGAAGTAAATTCTTCTGAGGGAGAGGAAAAATATATTTTTATAAGTAAAAATTAATATTTCCTAGAATATATACTAAGTACCTATTGTGGGCTTAGAAATTTTGGTACATTTTTCAATCATGTTTGTTGCTGCTCTTTCCACAATAGCTAAGAGATGGAAGCAACCTAAGTGTCCCTCAACTGACGAGTAGTTAACAAAAATGTGGTATATTTACACAATGGAGTTCTAGCCAACTGTAAAGAAAGATAAACTAATGAAATTTGCAGGTAAATGGATGGATCTAGAAAATGTTATACTAAGCAAAGTCACAAGGACTCAGAAAAATAAAAGACATATGTTCTTCCTCATTTGTGGATCCTAGCACCAAATCCCTTTAAATAAACTCAGAAAAACAAACAAGTTATGTTCTTCCTCATATGTGGCTCCTAGCACCAAATTCTTTTAAATTCCAGGTCCTTTTAATAAGATGATGCTATACAGCAGTCCCTTCTGTATGAAATAACTACCATCATAGCGACTTCCACTGAGCCTGATCACTAAACATAGTCACAATTGGGCTTACTGATGGTTGTGCTCATTCATTAAAGGTGTGCCAACCAGGGTCACTGGACCCTCACCTGAGTATCCAGACCCTCTTCCCAGCCAACAAGTCCAGCCTTGGAAGACAAAAGAAAAATGAGGAAGAACCCAAAGAGGGATGCTTTTGGAAGCCCTTGTCAAGAAACTCCAATGGATTCTCATATGAACATTTGAAAATTGCCCTGTTCTGACTTTTTTCTAGTTCCCTGTCTAGTACTTGTAATGCTAATTACTCTTGCATTTACTTCTTCACATTGCCTATTCATGATTCAAGGACTTTCTTTTCCCCTTAGAGACAAGAGTTAAGCAATTTAGGAGTCTTTTAGATAGACTCACT